ATCTGAGTTGTCGAAGGCCGCGTAAGGGAGCTGGCGTAGCGTGGATGACCGCAGGCAAGACAGGAATAAGAGGCTCTATGGGATCGTTCTTGTAGTTTTACAACGTCTGGAACTTCAGATAAATCGGAGGAACTAGTTGCTCAACAACATTTTCGGAAACATCGCGGCGAGAATCCATAACTAGCAGTCAAACCCATAGGCAGCAACACAAGAATATACCTCCAGAGTAAACCGTCCGCCCCTGAAAAAAGTGCATCTCGGTCCAAATGGGACCGTCTCTAGCGTCCCGGACTCCACATTCAAAGGTTTCTCCTGACATCGGATACTCCACAAACCTTTCTTTCATTCAAGGTTTTGAATCACCGATGGCCAAACATAAAACACAGTTTGGTTTATCCCCCTCCTCCATATTTGAAGACCTCCGTATGGAATCTTACTTTAATTTTGTTTCAAATCCGAAGAATGAAACTATTCATCACAAGATCCCCAAGCATCCTTCATCCTCCAAAACGGTTCGTCAAAAGAAGCGATCATGCGACACCTCGAAGCTTCTGTCCCTCAGAGTACTTTCCCAAATGCCTCCGCTCGAAGAGCTCTGGGGAGTTTCTCGCAATCGTGCTTCGATGCCTTGTGGCGTGAAACCAAAATGCGAACTCCACCGAAGACCCGTCGAACTCTTTCGCATGTAGGCAGACAATTGAATTCCGTCAGCGATCGGTTTTTCAGGTGTTGGCGTTTCCGAAAGATTATGTCGCTACTATAAGGCAGCTCTCAGAAAAAGATGAAGTGATAAACCGGCTGACGGCGCATATTTCACAATTGAAACTCTGTGCGGCGAAGACTGAGAGATTCAACAAGAAGCTCAAGTTCCAAGTGAGTTGATCAAGACTTTGGGAATCAGTGGAATTTAAATGCAGGAGTTCAATACGTCTGACAATCTTCCAGATAGAATGAAGGTGGGGATATTCAGCGACTGGGTTCTTCTACCGTTATGCTTTCAGCTGGTAGACGCCGTCGTCGCTGCTGAAACCAGAGAGTTACAGGTCGAGGTATTAGCTCAGCAAACTCAGGTAAAAGACACCGCTTCAAGGGTTGATAGTATCGATACATCGTGCCGGTGTCAGGCCGTTGAGAAAGCGAGAAATGAAGAGCGTCAAAGGCAGGCAGCAATAAGGCGATCTCTGGAGACAGAAACCTGCGAAAAAGAAAATGCGCTCTACAAGGAGCAACTGAGCCGAGCGTCCCTCGAGAAAGCTCAATCTCGTTGTCAAATTTTGGAGGCAGAAATGGCTGTGTTGCAATCATGCATGACGCAAAAAAACCAGGAATATGAACGCCTCTTACTCCAGAATTTGGACCTCCAGGAAAGGTTGAAAATCTCTCTTGGCCACCTTCGGGAGGAAGCGTTTGCCGCACGAGAAAAAGAGTCAAAAGCGGAAGTAGCCAGTCGAACTGCTCAAGAACTGAAGGCGGAGCTTAGGAAAGAAGTGGAGCATCTTGAAGATAAGCTAGCGAACGAGAAGAAGAGTCACGAACTTGAATTGAATCGGTTGAGAGGAATTGCTGACGAAATGAGAAAAGAAAACACAACCTTGCAAGAAGAAAAAAAACAAAGCGGGAAGGATTCTGAGACAACGAATCGCTTGCTGCAATGCGAAGTGAAGAAGCTGTCGTCTGATTTGGCCGCGATTCAAGGAGATCTGGAAAAGGCTAAAAAAAATTCTGAGCTGGAGAGAAAAGAATTCGAGGCATTAATTACGAATGCGAGGAGAGAAACAGAACAAAAACATCAAGTGCAGAAGAAGGCGGACGAGGAGGCGTTGGAAGCAAAATGGAGCGCGACATTGGATGCAAGTAAAAAAAACGATAACTGGCTTGGAAGAAAAATTGACCGCAGCCAGGAAAGCAATATCTGATTCCGACACTCGAGCAACTGAGCTTGAAAGAAAATTGAATGAAGTTTGTATCCATCGCGACTCATTGATGTCTAAACTGGAGAACTTGGACGCAGAGAAGCAGGCAGCAACAGAAGAGTGCATCCAAAAGGTGAAAGAGTTGACATTAGCTCAAGAGAATAACAGAAAATTGACGGAGCTGAGGTCTGGATTAGAAAATCAGATAACCAACTTGAGAGAAGAGCTCATGACTCTTGTCTCCGAAAGAGAAGAGCGAACGAAAGAAATCGATCGATTGAGCGAACGGTGTAGTGAATTGGATCGAGCGAGGGAACGGTTTGAGGAGGAGAGAAGCAAACTGGAAAAGGAGAAGACAGTGGATGAGAAAACGCGGATGATTCTAATTGAAAAAGAGAACCAAATTGATTCCATGGACCGCAAAATTAAAGAGCTCGAGGCCGTTCAGAAAAAATCGGTCCATGATCTGGAGAAACTGCAATCTGCTCTGTCCGAAAAAACAGAAGAAGCAAAAACTTATAAGGCTGAAATCAAAACCTTGAAGGCCCAAGCAACACAAGATGTATGGTCTCTTCTTCCTCGTATGTGTATTCGACGCTGGTGTGGTAACGAAATGACTTTGCTGCAGAAAGGGCGAATAAGGAGGAGCTTAAACTCCGGGATGAGGTGAAAATTTTGACAGAAAAATTGAACTACGCTGCAAGCCTACAAGAAGCGTGGGAGGCTCCTCTAAAGGCGGCGCTACAAACAGAGGGCCGACTCCTGGCTCATGAAGCCGAAGGGGAACGTGACCTTGAAGCCCGATACGACGTGACGAGGAAGAACCTTGATTCGTTGAAAGTTTTATGTAAGCATTTGCCGTTTGAAAAGTCACATGTTCGTCTGCAGACGCGAAAATTCGTCACGAGATGGAGGTCTCTGCCAGTGAGTCCCAGAATAAAATTGAAGGTGCGGTTGGTGCCGCAAAAGCAGTGCAGGAGGAGTTGGACGTTGCTCGTGACTTGTTAGAAAAATCCCAGAAGCAAGTTGCCGAGTTGACGGAGCAGCGGGACGCATCAATGCAAGAATTATCTGAAGTTCTTGAGAAAAATGGAAAAATAGCGAGAGACTTACAAAAAGCAAAAAGCAAGCTAGAGAAACAGAAAGAAAGGAGGGGATCAGAAGCAGAAGCCCTGAAGAAGGAGTGTGAAGAGTTGCGTCAGCAGATTGAAAGAGAGAGGGCAAAAAATACGGAAGACTCTCGTCTGAGTGAACTTGAAGCCGAGAAGGACATTTTGAGAAAGGCCATCAAGGATGCGGAAGAAAAAATGGAGGGATACAAAGCTGTGGATTGCGAAAACCAAAAGCTATTAAACAATCAAAGCAAGAGAATAGAAGATCTTCTTAAAGAAAATTCGCAGCTGGAGCAAGCACAAAAGGAAATGACAAACAGTGCTCTGTTGACGAAAAATGAGATGAAAGCAGAAATTGACGGTCTTAATGAGGCCTTGCGCACAAAAGTGCAGGCCGAAGAAGACAACACCAGAAAAATGGAGGAGCTTGCCGCTACGAACGTGCAGCTGGAAAAACGCCAGAAGGATAGCGAGAATGAATGGGTGCGGACAAGGGACGCGTTGCAAGCGGAAATTGAACGTCTTCAAGGGGCATTGAGCGCGCATGATGACGGCGACAACATCCGAAAAATGGAGGAGCTTACTGCTACGAACGTGCAGCTGGAAAAACGCCAGAAGGATAGCGAGAATGAATGGGTGCGGGCAAGGGATGCGTTGCAAGCGGAAATTGAACGTCTTCAAGGGGCATTGAGCGCGCATGATGACGGCGACAACATCCGAAAAATGGAGGAGCTTACTGCTACGAACGTGCAGCTGGAAAAACGCCAGGAGGAAATGGTGGCTCGCGAGAAAGAATGGACGCAAACCAAAACTGCCATGGAGGCAGAGATGGATGACCTGAAGAAAATGGGACGCAAGACGGACACACTCGAGCCAGACAGTCGCGACGATAAAATCAGGGAATTAGAAAAGAAGGTGAAGGTCGTCGAAGGCCAATTTCAAGCTTCCAAATCAAAGATGCAGGTTGTTGAATATGAGAAAAATGAAGTCTCCGAAAAATTGAAAAAGATTCAGGAAAAGCTTTCCCTTCGAGAAAGAGAGATAGAAAAACAAGTTGCTGACCTTAAAAGGGAATTATCAGAGAGACCGAGTGTGGAAGAGAAGAAAGCACAGGAAGAAGAAATCAAGCGTTTGCTTGATAAGCTGATGGGAGAGGAAGAAGCAAATAAAAAAATGTTAGATGAACTGCGTGAAGCAAAGAAAAATGCGGAACTGGTGGACGTTGAAAAGTTGGGTGAACAAGAGAGTGGGGATATGAAAGCAGCATATGAGGAATTGCAGAAAGAAAACGCAAAACTCAGAAGCAGACTGGAGATCATCGCAGAAAAAGTGAGACAGAAGAAAGCACGACGCGAGAGCGAGGCAGGGACAGAGGAGCAAGGAGAGAAAAAGCAGAAAAAGAAAAAGCGGAGGGAATCAATCGATGAACCAGGAACTTCGTCTCATCTTTCACTTCCATCTCTGAAGAAGTCTCCAGATGACGAAAGTACTGAGTCTCCCCAACGGCAAAGGTCTTCTGTAGAGGAGGAACGCCTTGATCAGTCGTCCACGGGAATATTCAGCGTTTTTGGGTTTGGGGGATTCGAAGGGACGACAACCGCTGGACTAACGCAATTGGCAACCAAGGAGGAAGAAGAAGAGAAAAAAGAAGGAAGTACAGGAATTTTTGGTCGTTGGTTTTAAGATGGAAATTGGTAAAACACATTTCGAGTAAGAAAAAGCGATTCTGATGAAAAAACGAATTTATGCACGGAGAACGTCAAGAAGAAGCCGACGACCATATTCCACAGTTTTGGTGTCTGAATAACGAAGAAGCATAAAAGAACATAAAGAGTCGATTTCTGACCATCTGCGTCTGCTTCGAGCCAACGATCAAATTGAAGCAGAGTTGGGAGAGATGGAGGAAACTTAGATGTCAATGAGGAAAGTAGATGCGTGAGATATTGGATTGCAATCTAAGGGGGACGAAGATGTGAGGGGAAAGTATGATTTTGTACATACAAGTGGCAAATTGAGTTCAGGGGTTGATTTAAATTGAGAAAGTATTCGTAGAAATTGAAAGGGATCGTTTAGATGCGAAGGATGAGAGACGATCCATGAGATCTGCAGAGAACACAATGTTGACGCACACAAACAAAAACTTACAACATGGGATGGCAACCGAATCCTTGAGTGAGTTGTGATTTCTCTAAAAATCGTATCAAATACCTCAAACGATGAAAGACGACCTGAGTGTTTATCTTTTCTGAGAGGAAACAGAAATGCATGGAATTCTGCATCGCTACTCACAGCGCCTCGTCCAATGAGCCAATCATCAAATCCCACATTTGATCGGTTCTTTCTCTTCGAGTCAAATCTGATCCAGAATCGTTCCCCTTATGACGCTTTCGTGATAACGCTTCATCCGTTACTGTCTCAATCAGATCTTGCTCCCGTTCGATTCTCTTGGAGCTCCTGCGAAACTGTTCTTCTGCCCTTCGGGATGGTGGAAGGAGAGTCCTTCGAGCGGACAAGCTCGGCGAAGGAATTCGTGGACTAAGTGTTCCATACGATCGTCCAGGTTTCTTCTGTGCCGCGCAACGCACCCAAGCGTCATCAGCTTCTTCATCCGAGTCCTTGAGAGCATTGCGGACGATGGCGAGAAGGAATTGAGTGAGCGGCCCTTTGTAGGGAACATTCCAACTTCTAGAGAGGTAGAGACTTTTATGTAACAATCCCGCAGACGCCTATCAATTGGAAGGATGCGAGATGGAGGTGTGGTAGCGCCTACCAGAAGAAGTGCGATCTCTGCGGCCGTCCCTTTCAAAATTTCTGGAGCTTCACACGGCATCCGCGAACCGAGAGACAGAAGGCTAATCTTAGATCTGGATTGGGAGAGATGGAAGGAGAGGGAAGCAGAATTGCTCACATTGCGAGACTCTCCAAGCGTTTGATATCTTGCTCATGCACCACAGCGTTGAACTTGAAAAAAAAATAATGAGGCAAGAGAGAGAAACCTTGGACCGCACCACGATGTTACCGGAGTGAAGAATATTAACGTTGAAGTAATGGCGTGGAAGAACAAGGTATCCGAAAGATCTGGGTATTGATTCAAGATGCGTCAGACAACTATAAAAGAGGATTCTGCAGCACAGATGTGTTTTTCATCGACGAACCTTCTGAGAAACGCGCTTTGAACATGAAGGAGCTCTACATGATTTGGGACAATCCCTTTCTGTCCTTTGTCGAATTCCTAGCATCATAATGAAGTACTTGAGAAATTGCTTCTATTGGCGTTAAATCTTACCATTAGAGGGAGAAAATCCAATGGACCATCATTCGGATGCCCGAAAGACTGGTATCTGGTGATCTTGGAAGACAACGAGGCCAACCCATGGAGAAGAGCCGCCGGGTAGAGAGTGAGATCTGGCAATGAATCTGTAGTCCCGCCAAACTCATGAGATGCTTGATAGACTGAGAATGGATTGAGTCGCTGATGCATCGCTGCAGACAGAATGTAACAATGAAGTGCAGCCTCCCTAAAATTCTTCAACCGATCTGTCAAAATCAGCTGGAAGATCTACAGAAGGGGCGAATTCAATTTTGGGTGAAGAATCTTCGACGAATCAAACATTTCTGTCTTACTTGAATCACTACGCGGCCACGCAAGCTTAAAGGATCAAGTAAAAGCGTCAGTTGTCCCAAATAAGTCAACAATGTGGAGAAAAGCTCGAGATTTGATTGGAGCATACCATCCATAATTGTCATCACATCATCAGTTTTAATACTTTCAGCCTCCACTGCTCGAAACAAACATAACAGAAAACCCAAAAGACCTTTTTGGGATTCCTACAGGTAAAGGCTGTTTGTCGCGTAGCCCTCCAACGTTTCGCTTACATCCAAACTGAAAATTTCCTTATCTGAGATCAACTGCGCTGCTTCAGTGAATTCGTGAGTTTCGCACATCAAACTCAACACGGCCCGCCATAACTGCTGTCCCAAAAATGATTCCGCCGAATTCGTTGAGAAGAATTTTTTCCCTTCCTCATTGGAATTTTTTGCACTTAGATCAATCGAGACACTCAGACGCTCAACACGCTTGAATAATCGAGCCGCTTGGATCATGAAGAATATCTCAGCATCCCGAAAGCCACACTCTAATGAAAGAACGAGTGATAACGGGAATTGAAGCATCGAGCGTACCAGAACAAAGGCGTGAACAGTGCAACGAGTAGACAATGGATCCTTTAAGTGAACGTAATTCGGATTGAAATGTTTCCTGCGCCATTCCGATGATTTCCTCCAAAGACTCCATACAAACGAGATTTTCTGGATCCTCCGCATTGGGCTGTTTCAGTTTGGCGAAGTGTTGAATCCAAGCATCGTGGTTGAGGGCATTTTCTAAGAACGTTTGAATTTCGACAGAGTTTTCCGAGGCAGCATCTGAGAGAAGGCATCGGCCAGCGACATAGTGAACGACGCCTGAACCATACGAGCTGTCAAGAAGCTCAGAGGTCAGACGACGACCTTCCTACAAGAGGAATCTGGTGATCATCTCTGTGGTGGCTCTTACATCCCAGAGCTTGTCCTTAAGAGTTCTTGAAACTATGAAGCTCGGACTTATAAGAGAAATGCACGGCAAACAAATGCGGTTCCCGAGATCAGGACAATCCATGAAGACGTTGAACACGTCCTGAACTGGAGCATGAAGTTGAGCGTGGGTGCGGATTTCCTTACATGTTGCTTGTCTCTGCGAACAAGATGCGGAAGCCCCGACGCTCCAAAAAAGCGAACAAGAACACGGAGCTGGCCGACCTGCAGCCACGAGAACTACAACGAATCGAGCAGACGATCGCCTCACTGTGTCGAGAATCTTTGTTTCGCCTGAAACGTTCCACTCTTTGACTTGACCATTGAGTCCCAAACGCAGTCCCAAACAATTTGAACCCCCCGAACCGCAACCGAGACGCGTGTCCCACCAAACGGGATTCTTGGCTGCCGGCGCATGAAGCGACGTCACCGTCTCGAATCTCTGAGGCCGAAAGATCATTCATCTTGAGTGACAGAGAAATGCGCCTTAGTGCGGCGAAACTCACTCGAGATGTTGATGTGAGATTGAGCGCAAGCCATTTTATCAACAATGAGAGTTCAAAACCAATAGAATACGCGCATTGGAGTTGAATTAAGAGTAAATTGAAATCGATCGCCGTTTGGTCGGACACACCGGGATTCATAAGAGTTGAGCATTCATCCTTGATTTCTATAAATTCTTCTACCGTTGGGGTTTCTAAAACCAATCATTATATTCACTGGGTTGAATCGCTTACCAATCGACTCGTCCCACTCCTTCGCTGAAGGTAAAGAAATTCCTGCAAAGAGAAGCTGAGAGAGACTTTCCAAAACGCGAATCGCATTTGAATCTCCACGACACGCTGCTCGGCCAATCAATTGCTCAACGATTCTTTTTCGGTTGTCGGAGTCTTCGAGACTTAAAATTTTATCAACTTTCTGAGAGTCGTCGATGAGGATCTTAAGAGATCGAAGAGCCCATTTCTCTTTGAAGGGAGCAGAAGTTCCTGGAGCGAGTCGCGACCGCAGTTGGTGGGAGAAGCTCACCAAACATTCAGACAGAAGTCTCAAGCAGTACGAGCCGCACAAATAAACGCCTGGTGGTACTAGTGAGGCTGTAATTTGTTGATTCATAATCCGTGAAGATATAAGAAGAGTCCATTCAAATGAATTTGATAGCAAGGATGCAAGGTCACTTATCGAGGACTCGAACATTGTCGCTGTTTCACACGTCTTGAAGATACGTTTCATTTCAACATCCAGCGTAAGGTTGAAAATGTCCGCCAGCTGGAAAATAGGAACGACGAGGGATGTTGAATGTCTGCGAGACAACAGCGGGCGCGCGTCACAGTCAGTGACTGTCGATACGACACAATGTTGACGGGTTGACGACGCGGAAGAGGCGCGCGACAACGCAGAGACGCAGAGATGCGTCTTCCACACGTTGGAGAGACAAAGAGCGACCCCGTTTCCATCCAGCGGAAGTTCAAGAGCGTCACAGCGTTTTAGAAACGAATGAGCCAGATTTGTCAGAGTTACAGCGCAGTTGTGCCGGAATGTCGCACTTTTATTCTTCGTGAGAGGCACAAAGGATGCTAGAAGTTGTTTGACGGAACGACGTAGATCCTCACGTACAGCAGAAGACGCATTCCGAACCAGGCGGCCGTCAGTCTCTTTGTTGCTTCTGTCATGTCCCCAAAATTCCACAAGAACTCTCGCTATCGTAGAGCTCCGATATCTGATTCAAAATGGTGAGATGGATTGGACGCCAATTGGATGTAAATTGGGACAAACCTTCCGTTCAAAGTAATTCGATCTCGCCAGAAATCGACCAGCCACGATTCAAACAGAAATCCAGTCTCGTGATCGAACCGATTCTCAGCAGATTCAAGGGATGATGACGAATCTCCGAATTTTTGCGACCTTTTGGACTCCGTTTTGAGGTGCAGCTCAGCCACAGCACAATCAAAAACGTGAAGCAGGAGACGATGACCGATCGCAAGGTCGGCTGTGGTTTCTTTTTGAAGGAGATCAATCACGGAGAGAGTTTGGGTTTTTTGATCAACGAAACAAAAGTCTGGATCGAACGTTTTGTAATCGCCTTCAATCGGTGGACAGTACGGGGAACATCTGGATCTTAATCTTTCAACAGTTTCTCTCCAAGCTGAAAAACGGTCTGGGAGTGAATTCAGCCCCCGTAGATTTGAATGGTTGAATTCAGACTGAAGCCTCCAGCGCTGCCTGAGAGGGCTTTGAAGTGGAACTCGCAACAGATGTGGAGGCTCCCCGCGTTGCCGTGATAGAAACAAAACCTGTCACATCAGGGTATTATGTTGCCGCCATGAAAATAACTTACCCAGAGAGTGTCATCTGTGACTTGAAGATCAATGGGATGGTCCTCGTCACAATCATCAAGTGGCACGGCGAATCGTCTGCACGCGAGATGGAAAATGGAGAGTTTATCTCAATCGGCCACACACTTGAAAAGCTTCAGTCGCGGCATTGCAGATTCTTCTGGAGGCGAATCAACGTGGAAAGTGCAAATCTCGCCCATCAACTCAGAAGTTTTTCTCGGACCAGAATGAAAATGTGTGAAGCGGTACAGGGCGATTGTCTTTCCTGTCGAGCTAGATCGTAATAAAGAATACCGTTTCATCAGAATTCGACGTCGCCTCGACCGACAGCACGGACAAACGTGGGGCTCTTGATGGCGGAGCTTCAAAGAGTGTCGTGAAAATGATGGCGTATTGCGTTCAGACTCGGATGTGCGTTGAGACGAAGCGGTGGGAGAGGAGCAAGACGATCGGTCAGTGCCACAGTCGTCAGTTGGTGGAGAGGAAGGAGGAGTGGACCGCGATAATCGAGAGCTATAAGAAACTGAAGATTCGTCAATCAGAAACTCAAACACTGGAATGAATGGGAAATTAGACAATCCAGTCCAGAAAGATAAAATTTCAGTGAACTGTCTTTCTGATGACGGAGGGGAATCATACACTCCACAACAAACAGAGCACTTCATAGAAGTTAGATCTGATAGCTTTTCATTTTTATGATTGATAAGTTCATCAGACTCAATGAGAGAATACGCCAAAACCATTCGGTTTGGATTGGATTGTTCAATCCTGGACCCTGAGCTCACGTCATCTGCTACAGTTTGAGATTTTGGGACGGATAGAATTTTAAGATGCTGAGGTTGAAGCGTTGAATCTGATTGCGCGCTAAATATTAATGACTTGAAAAAACGAAATGCAGATCGAACTGTTGTTTCGGTACCTGAAGGATTTGAAATAGCGAGAGATGTGACGCGAGCATTTCCCGAGACGGACGATGGAAATGAGGCAACGGATCCCACATCGGTTGACGCAAACTGCCGGAGTTTGGACGCGGAAATATCGTAATAATTCAGTTGATCAAGATCGGAAAGAACGAAACCCGTCGAGGATAAGAATTGGACTGTGATGTGAGGAAGAGATGCAGATTTATGAAGACTGAGTGGAATGGCAGTAGCAAGAAAGGTGACTTCGCAAACAACCCAATTTGGGTGTTTGGCGTGCGATAGAGTGGCAGTAGAGAGCTCGTGCCGAAACTGGATCGATACTTTAAACCAGATTAAAGAAGAATCTACTGACAAGACGAGAATGTACAAATGGCGACAAGCTACTGAAAGATCCAATACGTCAGAACACTCGGACTCCATTGCAATAACATTGAGAGACGAACAAACAAGGGGTTCGGAAAAATCGACTGTTTTGAGTGGATTGGCGGACGAATTCGGTGAAATATCCCGAAGTACAATTTGCACAATGGATGATTCACTGCATCAGAGTAGAATTCATGAAACACTCGAACATGGTGATCAACCACTTACACCATGAAAACCTTATCGAGATCCTCAAATTCAACCAAACACCCTTTAAAGGAATCGTTGCTTGGTGATTCATTCTTGAGATCATTAAACAGTGGAATCTCAACATCAGACACCCATAACGGAGTGTCAAACATCATACTAGAGAAGAGACTGTCTTCCTGTTGGGTTTAGTGTCAAATCAAGTTAAAGAAAAACTAAGTGTGGCTTCAACAAAACAGAATTAAAAACGAAGAGCTCAACATTCACGCGAGAACATCTTCTCTGTCAACGATATCCTCTTCAGGTACGCTCGTATCCATAGAAGCGAATTGCAAGAAATGCGTGGGACTGAAAAAACAAGAATTCCACAACAGGTACCCTTGGGTCAAACATACCGGTGCAATTCGTGGAAGAATGGCTTCGGATTTTCTAAAGCTAGAGAGTACTTCATAGCATTTGAGAATTTCACTCCCATAAAATTGTAATTCCAGATACCGCCTTCAGGAACCATGAAGAACCCTACGAGGAAATGAACACTCAGACCTGATTGAGTATTATAAAACCCTACCAACGAATATGTCAGAAAGAAGTGTTTGAACTTTCTCATAGTGATTCGACGAATAGCCTCCTGGGTTGGGACCCACATCCTTGTTTGTCTTGCCCCACTGGTAACCAAGTGGAGTCAGACGGTAGGCAGTCAGGGAACACGAGCCAGGAGTGAAGGAACAAGTGATGATGATTGATGTATCAATGTCCCAATCAGAATTATTGAGAAGAAATTTCGTATGGGTTATGACATCAATGGGGGGCAATTGCGATGTTTCGTTCGATTGCGTATGAATCCAACCCAAAGGTTCAAGATCCTGAAAAAAGGCGAAATAACGACTCGTTAAACAAAAGATTTCAAAAATGATCGTACCTTCAAATAATCATGACTAGGAACTTGATTAGGAAATTGAACAGCTCCGTGGCTTTCGACTTGAGGAATAAAAACAATTGCTCGAACTTCACGAACCTGAAGTATCAGTCATGATAAATCTAAGATCATCAAGCGTACCTGTGGGTTGTCTGATGCTGGGGCTCCGTAAAGCAATCCAGCCACTTTTGTTCGAAGGTCGGAAGCGCAGATGAATTTTCGGAGAATATTCTTTGGAATCACATAGGTCAATCCAACTTCCCGTACCTCATCCGAGTTGACGTAGATGTGGCCTGTTCTCAAATGCAGGCTAGCTGCCGACAATGCACGAATTCTCCAATCAGTTTTTGATGCGAACACACTTTGCTCATGGGGCGACTGTGTGGTGACAATGATTTCGTCTCCGTGAACATTCGTTGTCCTTGTTGTGACTGCTGTGACTTGGCTTGATGCTGCGTCCTTCGCTTGTTTCTCGATTTCCGCAATTTGTTGTCTTTGTAATGAGGGAGGCGCGATATCCATACCAAGAATAATGTCACGAATTTCTGATTGGGTTAAACTTGCAACGTTGACATTATTCTTCTTTCCATAATCTGCAAGAATCAAATCCTTCATTGCCACTTCAACTCTGATCCATTCTTCATCGGTTAAACTCGGCCATATATGATGCGGTTGTGTGATGGTTGACTTGGACGGCTTCAGTATCACCTTGGCACGATCAGGATTGACATGCAACGCCCTCAATATCAGAATCAAACGAGAGAACGCCGTAAATGCAGAAATGCTTTTCAGCCAGTCATCGTATAGATTGAATAGAACCATTTCTGGTTGCGTCGCTTTGAGAATGAGATCTCCGAATTTTTCAAGCTTCATCACCGCTTGGAATGGCAGCTGAAGCTCTGATCCCTTGATCACGATATTTGGGAAATCTAGGAGATGGACCTCCAGAGGATCAAGCATTCCCTTACGCGTCACGATAATCTGCTTCGGCTGTTCTTCAACTGGAAGGGACCGAATCAAAGCAGCAACCTCTTCTGCTGTTTTCCACTTCGCCAATTGAGAAAGTCGTTTCTGACCGGCCCAGACTGATGTGTGGATGATCTTCAAGAACAATTGTCCAGTGCGTGGATTGTAAATGAAGATGGCTCCATTCACAGGCTTCGTTGTCAGATTTCCTTCGAATGTTTTGTGGATCGTCACACGATAGACGTTTGTATCGTCAACGAACCTGAAAAATTGGCAATCATAATTGCTTCTTCAGTCATACTGACCAGATTGTCTGCGCTGAGAACAGCTCGCCATAGTTCTGGGTGTTCAGGTACGGCTCCGTCGGCTCAGATGAATAGAGCTGGAGACCCTTGCGTATACGCTCACGCAACACATACAGCGCGGGATTCGCCTTCATAATCTTGTTCATTGCGCGCTGCAGCAAGGGTTTCATACCAGGAACGTAACAGCCAAAGCCGGAGTGAAGATTGTAAGCGAGATCAACACCGAGCATAACACCGTGGGGAGATGGGTATATCGACATGTTATCTGTGGTGTAGTCCAGGAATTTCGCTCGACAATAGCGCTCGATGTCGTGACTGTCATAATCACCCCAACGCAACTGAATATCGATCCTACAAAATCGCATTCGTCGAGTTTAATCCATCAAAAGGAAACTCACCAGAATTTGGTTGCAAGTGTTCCATCGGATGGTGATTCATTATCGAACAGGAGGGATGGTTGGGAGACTGGCCACTTATAGGCCGCGAAGAGAAGAATGTCGGCGCAAGAAGAATTCATCTTGTATGACTTTCGAGGGTGAATCGTTTCTTTTTGAACCATTTCGATTTCAAGAGCCTCTAGCTCCATATCGAAAACCTAAGGATAGGAATTAACTGAAGTCACCACGTTAGATCGAGTACCTGGCAAAGATCCATCACGATCGATTCATGGACTTTTTGCCACAAATGGGCACGGAAGATTTGAATGAGAGAAATTTTTAATGTTGGAATTTTGCCATGCATGAAGATTCCCGTCAGATCGAGTTGCACTTGAAATCCAACATACACATTTGCGCGATTGATGGTGGGTGACCACCAAAGGGTGAAACGACGATTAGGAATCTGATTCAAGCCAGATCTCTGAGCATTTGTTAATTTTTTGTATTTCATCGACTCTTCAAATCTGTCAAACAACATTGCCAGTCATATGTGATAACAAGTCAGAGAACGCTTACCCCGATGCCTTCTCCCAGAAAAGACCCTCCCATGTGGGGAAGTAGGTTCCTTTGAACAGAGTGTGTTCCAGGATTCCTTCAACGCCTCCAAGGGCTTGGATCATATCCGTTCTATAGTTATTAAGATTCCACAACTTTCCATCATGTCGCTGATGCGTCCACCAAAATGGATTGGCTCGCAACATTTGATATTGTTTGAACTCTTGTCTGACACGCCATCCCTTGTCGTAAGCAAGCGTGTGGCGATCCTTCTGGAATAAAGTGTTGATTCGAGGGATTCCTCTGTCCCAACTGTCTTCGAGATCTTCCAAAGTCAAGCGACGATTTTGAGAATTCGCTTCTTGTCGTTTCAATGCATACTCCGCCCAGACACGTTGAGAATCCAAAAATTCTGATTCCCATGTCTGCAAGAAGAAATTCATCGAAAAGTTTTTTGCGTATCAATTTGAGTTGACATACTTGAATGTAGCGATACAGATTTGGAATCAATTGTTCCTCTTCGTGAGACATTCCAGCGCGGAAGTGTGTGATACCCGTTTCCGTTTGCTTCGAATACCTCAAATCCGACTGCGGTATCAAAATATGGCCCATCGATAACATTCCCAACCCTCCCAATTCTTTCGGCGTGTAGAAAACAACAGGCGGAAATCTTGAGGGCATTTTCGAGTTCAGGCCAATTTTAATACGCGTTTGAATCTTATTCTCGCATCTGATATTGAACGGGTAATAAACAAACAGAAGAATGGATGACTTACTTGACCAGTAAATCCAGCAGCTGCTCGGTGTGAATAACAGCTTCCCTGTAGTAGGTGACCAAACCGATGAGAGTTGTGTTCCATTTGTTAGCGATTTTCGTGAAAGTCGTGCTTCCACTGGCCATTAAAATTTGACGCACGCGATTTTCAAACTTTCGCATTCCATCGTCGTCCACACGCAAAAATGCTTGTGCTGTCGTTTCCTTCGTCGCGGCGTTTTGCAATTTCCAAACTCCCTCCCGCTGCGTAAATTCTTCATTAAATGCACGAATCTTTGGTAGAATTCGAACTTCAAATCCACACATGCTGAATAACAGATTCGGATTATCAACGGAATAAACTGAAACAAATGAAGTGTCCCATTCCAACGTCGTGACAGATCGAGGAAATCGATTTTGGATTTCCCAAAACGTTGCGCGTCCCAAATTGACGTCATGCTTCATGCGTCGCATGCGGCAGTCTCTCGGCCAACACGTCTTGTTGTTGTAGCCCACGACGTTTTCATTGTTTGGATCCGGATTCTCCGTCAAATATCGCTGGACCAGATCCCGGACCTCTTCTTGGTCGAACTTGAAAAGAATCCAGAAGCGATCACTGTAACGGGAATACAGACGGATGGGATGGCGAGTCTCAGTCTGAATGTCTGTGAAGGTCAAGAAAGGGTTTGGAAGATTTGGAGGTCCAGCGATTTCAGATGCGCGCGTTAAACCCAGAAGAAGAAGGTCAACAATCAAGAAATAGAATTGGAACACGAAAGACCCAAATTGCAATCCGCGAATAAGACCAAATGAATTAGTGTGACTCATATCTTTGAAAGAAATAGCAACGTTATTCTTTGCCGTGATGTAGTCAGCAATGTTGTGATCGACAATGAGACGAAGAAGACGATTCAGAAGAGTTAAGTCGATTTTTTCGAAGGGCTACGACAATAAAACGTGAAGGATTATTTGCTCAATCTGCTTAGACTCACCTTTTCGAATTTGGATTCCATCAACACGACACAAGATCCATCGTCTGTATTCCAGATATCCTGGAGATTGTTGATCCCTTCACACCATTTGTAGACCAGGAGAGGTGGGGGTTCGTTGTCCGAAGGCTTGATCCAATTAGGAAACAAATGTCGCGCAGACGCTTCATACCAGAGATACTGATCAAGATAGGCGTCAGTAATTTTTTCAAGAGGATCAATCTCATAGACGGGAATCAGATGGCTGTACAGATCGCTAAATTCAATCGAGACTTCTTTGAAAGCTCTTTGGGTCAAAAGGTGTCGCTTGATCCGTGAGAGAGCTTCGTGCGGGTTGTCGTAGGCCTGTTCGATCAGACCCAACTCCTCGCGTTGTGCTGAATTCAGGCGAGATTTGACGCTGTATGCTTCTTTCAATCTTTCGAGAGCAAGAATCAATAACTTTGTGTCATGTTTGTAATTCAATGGAGGAAATGGGATATGAGTGAACTTTCTAGACTCCAACCAATGAACTGCCGTTGTATAAATACCGACTGCTTCTTCACCACTAACATACGGACCGTCTTTCAAATAGCTGTGCTGTCGTTCATGTTCAGACTGAAGGCGCAAAAAATGATATATATTGATTCCTTCTGAGGCGACTTACCTTCAACCACAATCTTGTTAATCGCCCGAGATTTTTCTTGCAAACAGTCTTATCAACAGTTGCTCCTCTTTTTATACGTTCCCGATTATAGTATGCAGCATTGCTCCACCAATCTGCTTTCATCTTCACGTATCGAAGGATCATTGCTTCAAGAGGCGCGGGCAGCCCAGCGACCTTCCACGGAATGTTCGCTTTCCAGCATCGCCACGCTTCACTCAAATGCTGAAGAATCGTTCGTGCCTTTGTCGCTTTAACGCCCTCCGGCATCATGTCAACGATGTCATGCATGACTGCCGCACGCAATTCAAGATCGAAGTGAGACTCGACTCGTTGCTTCGTCACCGTTTTCGCGATACCCTTGGACACGCGACCTTCAAACTGACGTGATAGAAGATTGCCCAACCATCGCTCGAGCAAAGGAACAACCCCACGAAGAAAGAAGATCCACACTCTCCAACCGGGAGCCCAAAATCCACAGCCTGGCCCCTTTCCAACAGGACCAGTGTTAAAGCGGTAATAGATGAGATGCTTCAGATCTTTGCACATTCGAACTTGACGCATCAAACGGTACTTGTACCTGTACATTCCAGTCAACTGTCCGACATGCGCGAATATGTATTGCAGCCCATCGGCTAGTTGGAAGGCGTCGACGTTACCCAGTCGGTATTGCACGTGCGAGTCAACAATCAACTTTGTCAAACGCAAGATTTCACGACAGAGATGAAATGCATTTCCAAAACGGGACTTTTTTCTCTCTTTTGTCGTGAGAGTCTTGATTGGTTTTAGATTGAAGTTGAAATCCAGATGAAGGTAATTGAGATTCTTGCGATGAATGAGAAGATTCAACATGTTGTATCCCTGCCGGCAAACTTGAAGTCCAACTTCGACCCAATCTAATTCGGTACACTGAAAGAATTTCGTAGCTTTGAAGATTTTGAACAAATATCTCTTCTTCTGAGGTTTGGGTCTTCGGGAATGCAAGTGGTTCAAGACCCAGTATTTCAGAAGCTTTTGATAGGACACGCGGACTTTGACGGGATAATTCGCCGGACAGTGTTCTCTGAACCAGCTCTGAACCAGAGGAATGTCAACTGCCCTTCTCGTCGTTCCAGACCGCAAATTGAAGGGACGCGGTGCCCAGTAGAGTGCAATTCCGTTTGCGGTCGTGTTTGTCATCAGAGGCTCCTCGTCGAGCATGGGGACAAGCTTAAGAGGCAACTTGAATACCTCCAGGTCATCGTCGTCCATCAACTCCTCCGCTTCCGGAGTGGAGCTTGCTGTTCGATACGCCGGAATTGGATGAACGATTGGATCAAAATAAAACGCAGGCAAGTCTGGATCTTCTGCTTTCACGTAGACGGACATGGGCGTGTGGTACTTCGACATAGCGACGTCTCGAGGGCTGAAGTAGAGGAGCCCTATATATATAGACACTGACCAAACAGACCACGTACCGATTGTTGTACAAATATGGGAAAGCGATTTTGTATTCCGTGCGAATTTGGTGTCGAATAATAATTTTCTTAACATCATTGAATTCATTCCAATCTTCGTCATCATCGTGCATGTCCCGATGGAGTGGCTCGAATTTGGGACCGCCTGAAGAAGGATTGAGCATCGAACACGCTTCAAGAATCGGAACAAACCTGGAATTGCCATATTTAACGCTTTCGCCGTATAAAACGATTTGAGATCAAACAGATAGAAATAGTTTTCATCCGTTAGATCAGACAACAACTGATTTGCTAAACGGTACAAGACAGCCATCTGCTCCAGCTCCAATCTCCAATAACGGTATCGTGGACCTTTGACATAACGCTGATCAAATTTAAGAGGCTGATGATCATAAAACCACGCAGCAACAGGCGCATCTTCTTCGTCATCCAGCGACATCTGAATTGCCTCAAGGGGTTCGACATCCAAGACGTTATCCCCATAATCAAGAGGAGGTTCTTCATCATCAAACGGTGGAAATCGCATTCTTTTGAAATGGCGTCGATCTCTTTTCTCCCGTCGCATCGTGATCCACATCGTCCCCCCACTGCGCCATAAACACCGGTTCAATCATCCAAGGAATCTCATTCACGAAGGTGATTGCACCAGTGATGTGATAAATAACTTTAACATTCCGAACTTGCTCCCAAGGCATCGGCATATTTTCCAACAATTTATAAACAGCATGGGGCACATATTTCAGCGCACCAAGGTAAACTCTCTTATCGTGTCGGTACTTTCGGCTTGACATGTCTCCATGATCCTTGATAATCTTCCTTAGGTGCTCTGGTGGCATTTCTTCTTTAGGCCCTTCAGTAAGACATCCGACCTTTGCCTGCTTTCTTTTAGCACCATATCTCTTGGCGTTGAGTTGTTGCCATTTTTTCGCACGAGCATCAAGAGCTGCCTCGCTATGAGGGTCCACTGGAACTGGAGCGGCTGTCGGCGGAAGCTCAGGGGCCGCTTGGGCTGGTTTAGCAACTGGACGAGCTCCAGGGTGATTTCTCATCACAATCGCCTTCTCACCGAGCACAGTATTTGTCTGGGCGAGTTTGGGATGGTTTTTTCTGTGACTAGTCCAGGCCCATCGTATGAAAAAGGTGCATCGTCTACAATGTAAAAGGCCCACTATCTACCATGAAAAAGGTCTTTGTGAGGGACTTTAGAAAGGTTACCCAGGTGTCTGCAGCAGAAGCGGGAAAGTATTGGACTTCATCAAAAGGGTAAATGACTTTGGGGTCGAAGCAGATTTTGTCGTTGTGGTTCCAGAGACCTTCAGACCGCCTTGGATGAATATTACTCGCAAAACCCTCGTCCTGTTGTTTGTGGAAAGCTCTTTGAAAAATACGCTGGTATTTTCATATCCTGTTGGGGTGTGTTAACCATCTCCTGATCAGATCCAGCTGAACCTGATTTGATAAGAGCGGATGGAATAGAGAGACTTTGCCATGATATAGGTGGGTGAATCCCCAAGCCAGTTGGGGGACCGTCCTCTCAAGCTTGATGTCAATCTTCAGGGATTGAACCCGTGGATCCCGAAATCCTCGTCTTTGCGTATCATTGTAACGCTAAGGAAATGGGAGCATTTACGAGAGAGGAATTCGAAAATGGAATGAGAGCCTTCGAGATAACGTCAGTGTTGATTTGTTCTATAGATAGGCTCATTGTGTGAATGCAGGAGTGACACAAAAATACCGCGCAAGTGCGTTGATCAAATGAGAGAAACATTAACGGTGAGTTATGTTCGAGGGAAAAGGTCCTTCGATCATCTTTCTTCAGAAACCTGAGAAATGCAAACCTGTTTATCAATTTCTATTTTGTTTTGCAAAAGATCCAAACAAGAAGCATCTCAGTGTAGAAGATTCTGTCGCATACTGGGAGTTGATATTAGCGTAAGATGGAATTGGAAATACTGTGGAGTCTTCTTCTGTTAGGCGACATTTTCCATTATTTGATCGGTGGAAGCTATTTTGTGAATCGTCCACGACACGACAAGCAATCAACAAAGATCTTTGGAACGTTCGTCTTTTACTGTCTCGGGTTTCTCAGATGTTTGTGTTTCAGACATTGTGGGATTTTGCAATGATCACTACAGATTTGTCTAACTATGATTTTGACGGTGGGATCTAGCAAGTGCTGCAAGCTCATTGATTCAATCTTTTGCAGATGCGTGGCCTCTGATGATTGACGAATTTGCTGCTTGGTGTAAAGAACATCCACAGTAGCGGAATGAGCTTCCTCCTTTTTTTTTGGTAATCCTCGTTTCCGTAGAACAATTAGTAGAATGTATGAGACTGGGTGTTGAAAATGGGAGCAAAGACAATGAAACTACAATTTATTGCTCTCGAGAAGGAAGAGCAACGAATGGTCTTTTCTTGCGTCCCTGGAATTTAATCCTGGATGCTTCATCATTGAATAAAATGTTTGTTTTTGGCTTCGGCACATCATGAAGAAATTCTTCTATCAACATTAACGATGTTCCTTCTTCCACTTTTTCCTCGGCATTCTGCTCCACTGCCTTTTCCTTATCTTCTTTCTCCGTCTCAACGACTTTTTTCTCTTTCTTTTTTGGTGCGGTGCTTGCGGCACTCATCCCCGTTGCCTTCAAAGCTTCCCCTAATTCCGGAAACGCAGCTTCATTTTGAACAACCACAGGTTTTGCGGCACGCTTCAACCCCGGCCTGTACAACTTTGATTCTTGAACCTCTGGCTCCACAACTACAACAGGACTTGGAGTTTCCTCCTGTTTTTCTTGAGTGACTTCTCCCCAGGTCTTCGGTTTTCGCTGCTGTTTTTTTGTGACATCTTCCTCTGAAATTAAATGGAAGTGTCCCCCAACAATCGCATGGTCCCCTGCTCCAGGCTCGCTGTCTGAATCCACTCCCCAGTCCTCAGTGGCTACGGCAGCTGCTTTAAGGTTGCTGAGCGGGTCCAAGGCGGCATCTCCTTCAGGTGACACCAAAGCAGCCTGCAGCGCCGAATCAGCAGAGGCTTTGACAGCGCTTTTGCCTTTCTTGGCGGCGAGGAACTTCGCCATTTTACTCATTTTTGCGACCGCTTCAGAGCCCCAAGCTAGTGCACCACTTAATGCCAGGCAAAAAGGGACAAGGTCCAGACGAGGTGAGACGTTAGATAGAGCTTCAGGACAAAAGTCATGAGTGCTTCAACAATCTCTTCATGACTGGATGCCAGCATTCCATTCAGCTTACCGTCTTGCAGATGTCACGCGCCTTCTTGAGATTCTGCTCTCAGTTCACAAGCCTCGAACTGAGGAATTCAATGACACCGATGAGTCCGCTCTTTTGTTGCAGAAGGCTTGTAAAACTGCCAACGAGTTTCGTCAATGGAGATTGGTGGAAGTTTTTCCGAATGCAGAGTTCGTGGAACCGTCTCGCCGCTTAGACGCCGATCCCCCATTAGCATTACTTGTTCGTCCAGATGTGAGATACGGAGCTGAAGGTCGAACTGTCACCAAAGCAGAAAGGATTCGCGTTGAGAGGCCTCTACTTCTGAAGCCGCAGGATTCGTCATATCGTCAGCCGCCACTAGCCGACCCTGCCACCTCCTCGTCAACCAAACTGAAACATCTCCATCTAAAGCTTTCCAATTTATTCATATTGATTGACATGCTAGAACAGATTCCTCTTCCTCATTGGGATAATCAGTGCTGCAATCGGAGCTCGCCTGGTTCCCCCAGTTCACCAAATGAGGCATTGCAAAGGACTCGCCATTGGGAATCTCTTTTCGCGGCGTGTTTATTGTGCATCCAACTGTGGAAGATACTTCCTCCCTTAGAAGTTGTATCCCATTACTGCAAACCACCAGCATTTCAGCCTCTGGTACCAGAACTTCTCCATACGACATCCTCATCGCAGGACGATAGCCACGATAATCTAGATGACTTCATGATTCAATTGGATTGGTATGCGTACTAGCTGACGAATGGTTCTCATATCCCCTTCAATTTTTTAATCTCAGCTTCACATGGAGGCTCGAAATTCTGGTCCAAAACATCCTTCAATCGCGATTGGAGAATATCATCGCTCACAATCTCGATCAGTTCAGTCAAAACACGATTATTTCGACTCTCTTGACGGCGAAAACATCATACCTTTCGAAACATTGGTCGGTGTCCCACAAAGGCCCTCCTCAGGTTCAGCTGTCTTTTTGCTCCACTCTATTCGCCCTGCATCCCAACGTTCATCCGATTCTGACGATCTGCCGGAGTCCTTCCCACCTGATCCCTCCATTTGGATCAATTCGACAGTTAATCAAGGCGAAAGTGACATGAGAGTGGTGAACGTGGAGTCGCAAATGTATCTTTCGAGAGTTGCGATGCCTCGACTTGTAGCAGTACACAATGACACCCTCGACGCTGAAGTCCTTCGATCCCGCTATACTGAAATGCAACAACTCCAGCGCACTCTTCAACACTTGTACGAACTACAAGAAGAAGTTGCTCTTAAAGCAACTGAAGAGGCCGAAATGCTCAATAGAACTGAAGATTCGTTGGATCGAACGGAAGGGGAGACGCGTTCAGTAAGTGTCTGGAAGATGGCGAGTGGCCACGCTGCCCCTCTTTAGGCGAACGCGGAGTTAGCCCAAGCAAACAAAGCACGGTCTACGTGGTGGGGATTGAAGGCTTCCGGCATTGGAACGGTTGGAGGTGCAGTTGCTGGTGGTTTGCTGTTGGGGGGTCCTGTTGGTGCTGTAACTGTGGGATCTCTAGCTGGTCAGTCTTGGCTGTTGTTTCGTTGTCTCAATCTGTTCTTCAGGGGCGGCAGGATTTCTTGCAGGAAATTCTTTGAAAAAGTCTCACAATGCCAAGATGGATAGAATAGTTGAAGAGAGTAGACACACCCGCCACCATCATGGAAGTTCGCTTGGTGCTACGAGTGCGACTTCTCAATTTCGCCCCGCTTACAGCTCAGCAGGCATTAACGACGCTCAAACGAGGCGTGAGAACCCAGAACACGTCTCTATACGCTGCCCCACTAAAATGCCATTTTTATGATGAACCTTTGCTTTTTTTTGTTTGATTTTTATTGAATCTCAAATATTGTGTCTGATTGTCTGCGTATTTTCAGTCCTGATAACACTTGTCTCATCTCTTAATCCTTTCAAATTACTTCGAAATAGAAGCAAATCCACCGGTCTTTCACAAATGCGACTATTACGAGTCAATAATTCGAGTCCTCTCTTAAGCGCATGAGATTCTCTCTCCGCATGCAGAGGGAGGTCCGTGCTGTGACGGAACATCGACGTCTCAGAATTTCGCCAATCTCGAATTCTCGTCCTTTTAATTACTGCTGGCACGACACTGTGTGCGTGTCTATTGCACAAACCCATTTATACTGAAAACAACTTCAGTCCTCTATCGTCTATACTGGTGACGACTCAACTCCCATATATTATCAAGTTGGATGCAATCAAAAGTTGTTGCTTCACTTACTTATCAATTAATTACACTGTTTTTTTTTGTAGTGCAGGTGCAAAATATTACTTATTGCTCTA